TCATCCTCCCCCATCTCACACCTGCTTTTATTTCTTCTTGTGGATTGCTCTAGCTATTTACTTCTGTTTATTCTTACAGATGAAATAGGTACTGGGTTTTTAAGATATTTAATTGAATATAAAAAGATAATTTTTAGTCTTGAGTCTTTCATGAAAGATCAGAGTATGCCTCTCCATTTGTTCAAATTTCTTATATGCAGCATGATAAATATCAGAGCATTTTATATTTTCATATGCTTTTTGTTGTTAGCTTCCCTCCCCTCTTGGTATTTTGCAGCTTGTGTTGCTCGTATGATGGTACTCATTTTGGTACAGGATGCTGCATAGCAAAGCAGTCTGTGGCTGGCAGCTAACCCAAAGAGCTGTGGTTACCCAATCAGTGCTTCTGTTACAGAAAGGCCTGGTGAACCGATTCTGTAAAGATTACAGCCAAGAAAACATCACAGTGCAGTTCTGTAATGTAACACACAAGCTCCCCATGAGGTTGAAACAATAGCAATAGGGACTTTTTTTGAGGGGAGAGGTGAATAATATTGGTACCTGTGTGCTAAAAATCAGCTATTTTAGCACAACATGTGAGGTCACAGGGTCGGATGGCTGGAAACAAAATCATGGTTCAGCTCCTTCAGGTGTGTGACTTTGGGAATAGGAACTTTTCTTGTTTCATCTGTAAAACGTGCATAGCAATATCATGTGCCTGGTAGAGTTGTCATAAAGAATAAATGAGAAACTTCAGGTAAAGCACTAGGCTACAGCCCTGGAACACAGGCACATCAGGCCATATTAAACACCAGCTGCTAGGGAGCTCTGGTGGCCTAGTGGTAAGAAGCTGTGCTGTAATCCTGAAGGCACGTGGTTCGGGATCCACCAGCTGCTCTGTGGGAGAAGGATGGATAATATTCTCCCCTGTGTGATTAACTGCCTCCAAAAACCCACTGCCTGGTCAGCTATGGGTCGGTTTCAACTTGACAATACACAACAACAACTGCCCCACATGTGCTGGAATAGACCTGTGCTCCGCGGGTTTTCCATGGGTAGATTTTTAGAAGTAGATCACCAGGCCCTTCTTATGAGGCACTTCTGGGTGGACTGAATCACCAATCTTTCAGTTAAGACCACCTAAGTAGGCTAGTGATTCCTCCTACATTACAGTCAATTTCTATTCAAGCATCTGTTGGCTAACTACTAGCTTGAACATTGCTTCAACTATCCAAATGCTTTACAACAGCATGCGACAAAGCCAGCTTGACATTTCTAAGGACAATGCACTTAAATCTAGGTTAGCTAGGACACTCTTCATCTTGAAGGCTTATGTGTGGTACATTCAAGAAGATTCCTGTCATTAAAGTGGCAAAGAGCAGGAGGTGAGCCTGGCATGTTTCCTGCTGCAGCTCTGTGGATGAGAGCAATGTGACAAGGCCTGGTCCACAAGAGATGGTCCCAGTGTGGGCACAGGACGCTTCCACTGTGGGACATGGCGTCATTCCTAGCATGCACTTTCTCCTTCATGACAACTTTCACCATGGTTATCAGGCCTAGTATCCACTGTCATCAAGTCTATTCTAGCTCTTCCTGAGCTGGCCTTCCAGCAGCTGTCAGTCACACAAGAGGAGATTGTTCACCTGTCTCCCAAGAAGCAGACAGATGGTGGATTAGAACCTCTGGGCTGTCAGTGCAACTCCTTATGCATTAAGCCACCAGAGCTTCCATGTGCTGGAGAGTAGAATCGTACTGTGTGAGGTTTTTTTGGTGCTGATCTTTATGGACATAGTTTGCTAGAACTCTCTTTTATGGAAAATTTAAACCACCAACCTTTAGACCATTGAAAAATCATAGAATTATTGCATAAGCTCAGTACCTCTCAGGTCTGGTAGTAAATCAGAAATGTGGGATTTGGTCCTTCCTTCACCTGGACCCACTCTCTCAGGGCTCTTTTCCTTTATTCAGTTAGGAGTGTTCCCTGCTTTCTTTGCGGCTATTCATCATCTCTCGAAATGAGCAAATAAGCCTAGATGTTTTTAACTCTGGCAAATCCTAGAGTTCCCTGTTAAAAATACCTTGGCAGGCTGCCACAGATTTGCAACAAATAAAAAAAAACCAAAAACCTATTCTGCTACAAAACTGTATTGCTTGTCTCTATGTTAATGTGTGGTTTTCACAACTAAACTATGGCAGCAACATTAATGAGTCATTTTTCTAGGAGTGTTATGTAGATAATTTAAGACTTCGAGCCTCTTTCCCAAAAGCCTATATAGTAAGTAATATGCTGACAAACCCTGAAAATGAATTGACTTGATTAAAAAGCATCATCTTATTACTGTTATTTTAAAGAATGCATTTAATTAGAATGTTACCAGTTAAATGAGGACAGATGCAGTTCTAAAGCCTGGTTTCATAACTGGCCCTTTGTTGCAGTCAGGATCAGAAAAGTCATCTTTGTTCCCTGACCAGTTCACCTGTAACAATCCCTCTTTATGACCACAGTTAATGTTCCCTAACACTGAAGATAGCAGTAAGCCTATGCTAAATCTTTCCTATGCTCTTTAACTCAATTTGGGGGGGAGTGCAGAGTTCAGTTTGGCACAAAGTCAGGTAACAATTAGATCAAGCTCCCTTTCTCTACATCAATATAATGTCCCATCTCCTTCCGGAAAAACCCCTGGGCTGCATGGAATTATACAGGTCACACACCTGGAGAACATCAGAGCCAGGGCCTGAATCAGTTTAGCACACATAGATCACGTCCGTGGTGTAGGCATTATTTGGGCCACCAGTCAAGCAATGCTGTGGTTTATTATAGTTAGTGCATCTTCCTTCACCCATCATACTCACATGCACATACACACACACACACACACACACACACACCCCCCACTTAGATTTTAACAATGTTATTGAAGTTTTAATTCTGAAGAATTATGACCTATCGTTTACTACCCAGGGGCCCTGGCTATGCAGTTGTTAAGTGCTCATCCCCTAAACAAAGTTTAGGGGTCCAAACCCACCAGTGGCTCCATAGGAGGAAAGATCTGTAGATTTTCTCCCTTAAATTCTCCTGTCTGCAAACCCCATAGGGAGATTCTACTTTGTCCTGTAGGGTTGCTATCCATCAGAATCAACTCAAGGGCTCAACAATTTAACTCACTGACATCGAGTTGGAACAAACTCATAGGTGACTCCCCAGTTGGTTTTCAGAGGCTGAAAATGACACAGGAGAACACTGCCCATTTTTCTCCCAAGGAACTACTTTAAACCACCAGAGAGAAGTCCCCTTTGGGTTAACAGCACAGCTCCCTACAGACTATGTCACCAGCCCCAACTATACTTCATCAGACTGTACTCAGATTTGGGCGAATTGGTTGGCAGTTAAAACTTGTTGACTTGAGAGATAATTTTAAATGATCCTTTAGCAAATTGAGAGGGAAGGAGAGATTTATAAATAAATTCCACAAAATGGAAGTAGACACAGGGATTGACATAAAATTGCTGTTTGTTATCGAATAATAATTAGTCTTACCTAAGTCTGCACTAGATGATGGATATTATCCTTTACTAAGTACTTTCAACATAGTACTAGCTTTCTTGCTAAGTATTCTTCTTATTTAACCTATAGCTTGTCTTGTAGTGTATAAACTGTCTCTTTTCTTTTAATTGATGAATAAATGAAAAATGCCATTTAAAAAGCAGCTCTTCTATAGTTCAAACTTTGTCACAAACTAGCATGTGAACTTATGCCTCACTTAAAACTCTCTAAGTTCCAGGTTTGCTCAAATGAATCATTTCACTTTTATCTGTTGTCTTGGGACAGTGTAGACATGATCATGCAGTAATAGGTGGTTGTTGTTGTTGTTGTTGTTAGGTGCCATGGAGTCCAGTACGACCTATAGCGACACTATGAACGACAGATCTGGACCCTCTCCTGTCCTGCACCATCCTCACATTTCCTAACACACTAGAGCCCATTGCGACAGTCAGCACGTCAATCCACCTGGTCGAGGGTCTTCCTCTCCTTTGTCTACCTTCTACCTTTCCAAGTATCACGTCTCTCTCCAAGGAATAACAATTCCAAGCAACATGCCCAAAGTATGTGATGTGAAGCCTCGTCATCTTTGTCTCCAAAGAGCACTCTGGCTGCATCTTCTCCAGGACACATTTGTTTGTTCTTTTGGCAGCTCGTGGTATGTTCAACACTCTTCTCCAACACCACAGCTCAAAGGCATCAGCTCTTCTGTCATTCTTATTCGTTGTCCAGATCTCAGATGTGTAGCAAGTCATCAGAAAGTCCATGGCCTGAATCAGATGCACCTTAGTCCTCAAACTGACATCATTACTCCTCAATAAGTGAAAAGGTCCCTAACTGCAGACTTTCCTAGTGCAATAAATCTCCTTATTTCCTGACTGGTACCAAGGATGTTAACTGTGAATCCGAGTAAAGAGAAATTGTTGACAGTTTCAATCTTTTAGCTCTCTACTGTGATGCTGCCTATCAGTCCAGTGGTAAGAATCTTTGCTTTCTTGGCATTTAGACACAATCCATATTGAAGACTATATTCTTTGATCTTCTGAAACAAGGACTTCAAGTCCTCCTCCTTTCATTCAGCAAGCAAGGTTGTGTCAGCTGCAAAAGGCAGGTTATTGATGAGTCTCCCTCTGATTCTGTTGCCTCATTTTCTTCACAGAGTCCAGTTTCTCAGATAATTTGCTCAGCATAGACATTGCATAGGTTATGGAGAGAGAATATTGTTGTCATTACTGTACCTTCAAAATCTATCACCTGGATAGAACCATAGCTAATTTTTCCCTCGCTTATTCCCAATGCTATTTGTCAGTAGAAAAATCATCACTGTGACCATGAGGCAAAAAGGGAAATAAGACCAACACTTGGTTAATACCAGTAGTCCCTTTTCTGTTCTTATTCACCTTGCCTTGCAGAGATGGAAACATCAAGCTCTCAGAACTGATTTAAGTATAAAGGCTGCAAGCAGGAAGAAGGAAGAGGCTCACAGCTCCTTGATACAGGGATCTATCTCTTTCTTATCACTTTCTAATGGTATTTTGAAAGGAGGGTTGAGGAGGAAGTAGATAATAAGGGAGCATTGTGTATCCAGAACCTAAAAACAATAGCAAAACCAACGAAAAGAACCTGTCACAGCATGTTAAAAACGCTTAACAATGTCTATAGTTACTCCTCAACTGCAAAGCAGACCACTCCCACTGTTGTCTCTCCACCCCAGGCACATCACCAACACTGTTCCTAGTACCTCGTACAATGCTTGGCACTGAGCAGGTATGAATCATTAAAAAGATTCTCATGCGAGGAGGATTACTAACATAGGAAGTTTACCCTTCTCCTAACTCCTTTGTTGCTGCTTCTTCTTCCTGTGTTTCAGGAAAGATGAAAGGCACAGCATTACCCCTGTTCATCACTGCACACAGCATTAATGTGGTACATAAAACTGTGTACATCTTGAGACTATTCTGAAACCCTGTGCTTAATTCTAGACGCTGCAGCTCCAGACAAAATAAAAAAAAAAGAAAAGAAAAAGGGGGAGGGGAAAGGCTCATTCAACAAGAGTGAAGGCAAGTCATGAACATGGGCTAGAGCCAATAGGAGAGATACAAGGGTAAAGCTTTGAAAGATCTGAGCTCACACACCGATAAACACATGAAGATCAAAGACTACATTCTTCAGGGAATTCACTGCAACATAAAGAAAACAAAAATCCTCACAACTGGACCAATATCCAGATAAATGAAGAAAAGAGGAAAGTTGCTGTGGTTTTCATCTTACTTGCATCCACAATCATTGTCCAGGGAAGCAGCAGTCAGGAAATCAGATGACAAGCTACACTGAGGAAATGTACTGCTATGAATCTCTTTAAAGGGTTAAAAATCAGACGTGTCTTGGAGGACTAAGTTGTGCCTGAGTCAAGCCGTGGTATTTTCAATCTCCCCAAATGCATGTTAAAACTGCATGGTTGCTGAATGAGGACAACAAAATGAGAATTAATGCCTTTGAATAGAGATGCAGACAAAGAATGTTGAATGTATCATGAACTTCCAGAACAATGAACAAATCTGTCTTGGAGGGAGAACTCCTTAAAAGGGAGGACAGCAAGATCTCATCTGACATACTTTGGACAGAGTATGAGGAGGAACCAATTCCTTGAGAAGGACATCATGCTTGGTTAGAGCAGAGAGTCAGAGAGAAAAAAAACGGCAAACTCACAACGAGATGGGTAGGCACAGTGCCTTTTACAATAGGTGCAGATCGGTGATTGTCAGGGTGGCCCAGGACTAGTGTGAGTTTTGTTCTGCTGTTGTATGTAGGAGGTCACTATTTGTCAGAACTGACTCAACAGTCTCTTAACAATAACAGCAAGAGAATGTGAAAAGTGATGCAAAGTGGTGTATTAAGTAGAGCCTGGTGAGCGGGTACCTCCTTTTTCCTAGAAGCCTGGGGACTCTGTGTATAATAGTCCATGTTGGGGGGTGTCTTTCTGGTAGTAAGGAGCTCTAAACTCTGTGAACGAACTCCAGAAGCGGTCATTGAGTAGGAGGACGCGGAAGTACGCTTTCTGGTAGGATCAATTTTCAGTGATGGTTATACATTTTCTGAAACGTCAAATTCACCTGTGCACTGCATTTGCAAAAGGAAGGATGACTCACAGAAGTAAGACAGAGGAGAAGAATGATCTCTGAAACATGAAGAAGAATTCATTTCATTTTCATGGTGCTGTAAAACTTATAAGATTCTTTTCTTACCTCCCATAGAATTCAATGATGAGGACTATTATTTCCATTTTGTCAGATGAAGCTCAGAGAGTTAAAGTTACTTTGTAGTAGAAGTCCTCCTTGTGCTCCTTGGAGGCAATGACAATAAAGGTTTGCCTCACACACTCCAGGCATGTTACTAGGAGATGCTATTGTTTGGAAAGGGGCATGATGTTCAGAAAGGCAGAAGACTGGAGGAGGAGAGGGAGACCCTTAACCTGATGGATTAACATGATGACTGTCACAATGGGCTCTAGTGTGTCAGCAAGTGTAAGGATGGCGCAGGATAGGACAGGGTTCAGATCTGTTATTCAAAGGGTCACCATAGGTCATATGAAACTCAATGACACCTAACACCAACAACAACATAGGACAAAGAAGTAAGAAGTATCCAAGTCAGGACTTAAAGCTAGTCTTCTATTCTAGATCTAATTTACCTGTGTTCTTTCTTCTTCCTGTATCTGTCTGAGCCACAAGGTAGGAGGGAGAGACAGCAACCCAAATTTTATTTCAGCCCTGAAGCAGATATTCTAAGAAAACTTATCAATGTAATCAAGGTAATAAATAGGAGAAAGAACTAGAAATTAAATCATGACAGAAAAAGAAAGATGATCTTATCTATAATGTGACACTACTCTTTAAAAAAAACAAAAACAAAAAAACCATAGCAGGCTTTTAAGAGGACTGCTCTGAAGTCACCTGCAGTAGCAGGCTTATACAGGAAGTGGAGAGGAGCAGGAAGTCTCAGGATCAGTCCTGGGAGATCAACTTCCTGCTTCGCTATAGAGCCAATCTATGGAGAACAGCACTGAAATATGGCCCCTAGCTGAACACCTGACACCCATCCTAATGCTTTAGCATCGTTGTTCACCTTAGACAGTTAACCAGCACCCAAAACTGTGCTTTAGGGGGCCAAATTATTCTTTGTCTTAGAGGAGCGACTATGTTTTTAAAAAAAAAAAATCCAACTCTCAAGGATTTAAAAATCCTTCATTACTTGGATCCTTACTTTGCCTTGGGCAGTTTCCTCCTCCAATATTGTTGAAGGCTGCATTAGGAGAAAATAGCCCCTAACATCTAGAAACTTCTTAGGGACTAAAGGTATCTGACGTGTGGGTGGGTAGAATGGGTGCCTGGGCTGGGATAGCTGGGCCACAAACACCTGGGACAGGGCTGTAAAGACGCAGAAGCTGAGGGACAGTGGGGTGTGAACCAGGTGAGAAAGGAAGGGGTGGGAGAGAAAAGCAGCAGACGAAAGCCCCGAAGTCAGGAAAGGGCTCTCAAAAGCGAAAATATTAGTTTTAACTTGTTGAATGATCTCTCAGAGCTGGCCAGGCAAACTGCCGCAGTTAAATAGAAATTCCTCAGTACCCCACCGCTCCCCTCTTCCAGTGGCGTCCAGGGGACCTGCCACGCCTGCGACACCAGTGGGTCCACTACGACTCAGAGTGACCCTCCTATGAACAACAGATTGGAAGCTTGCCCTTCCGCACCATCCTCACAGTCTCCAACGGGACTTCGCCCATTGGCGAAGGTCTTCCTCTCTGTTGCTGACCCTCTGCTTCCCCCAGCAGGACGTCCTTGTCCAAGGGTCCTCCTGACAACATGCCCGAAGTACGTGAGATGAGCTTCACCACCTTTGCTTCTAAGGATGTTGTCTGTGCTTTCTCCAAGTCCACTTTGTCTTTTGGCAGTCCGTGCCAAAAAAAAGAAATCAACAGGGAAATCAGAAGCAAAGAGAAGTCCCATATGCCAATATAGATGTGCCTGAGACTTCCACTATCCTAAAGGTTTTCTGTATATCAGTTTTATTAATAACAGATATTCCCTGGAGCATTTACTTAGTATCAAGCTTTGTCCTAAGTGACGTACCTCTTTCTTGGGATTGCTGAAGAAAAATGAACTCTGCTTTGGAATATCACAATATCCTTTGAAATAATTAGAACGTGCTTGTGACCAAAGGTTTGAGTCTTAACCTCAGTGATGGAGCTGGTTTCATAAAAAGGGGACGAGATAAGAGTCAAGGGATTGAGTTGGGAATGAAAGCTCATTGTCCCAGACCAACAGAGGAAGTTGGATCTTCCCTTTGAAAATATTAGTAGTTAGTAACTCTCCAAATAGGTTAAGGCTTTTCCCCACCCCCATCATTGGCAGAAATGACCTAGAACTTATTTGGTGACCAGCCTTCTGTATCCTCAACAATTCTAATTTTAAAGAAGTGTTCACTACCATCTAACTCTGTAACTTTAAACTTCTATGGGGCCAGTCATTTCATAGAGAAGGAGGCATGTGTGTAAAACAAAACAAAACACATGGTCATTTCACATCATATGAGGGTGCCCATCAGAAATAGAACGGTTAAAGCATTGGGCTGATTACCAAAAGACAGTTTGAATTCACTAGCTGCTTCAAGGGAAAAAAGAAGAAGAGTGTTTCCATAAAGATCTACAATCCTATGGTGAGTTCACTCAGTCTTATATCTTTACTATGAATTGGAATCAATGGCAGATTTATGGGTTTTGTTTGTTTATTTGTTTGTTTGTTTGTTTTGAATAAGAGATAGAGAAGTTAAGATTTTTATGGAGTTTTGGTGGTGAACTGAGCCCCACCTTGGATATACAGTGTCTCTGTTTTTAGGTAAAATAAAAGAAGCAAGGAGGAAATGCCCTATTGAGATGTTCCTTGTAATGTTTGTCTTGGCATTTTCTTTTGTTTCACCTGCCTGATAGTATCTGGACTCTCATTTAAATGGGAAAATAATCTTAACATGTAAATTTTACATTGATATAAAATCCCAATGAAGTATAGATTTCTGTTGGAGAGTTGAGGTTTGTTTGAGTGATATTGGGGAGTGTGACATAGGAATAGATGAAGGATGGTGATTTTTTTAGGTAGGATCTAGCTGAAAGTTGCAGAAATAAGATCCGCAAGAGAAATTCTTAGGCTGCCCCAAACTGTGTCCAACAATCAGTCTTCTGCAATAATCCTGCCTCAGGGACAGCCCATCCACAGTGGTCCCTCTGGGAACATCTGCTGGCTGAAGAGGTGCTTAGCACAGGATGTGCGGTTAACTCCAAGGAGAACTTACCCTGCTCTGAAAGTTTATCCAGTGGAGTTCCTGAATGGTACAAATGGTTAAGGGCTCAGCTATTAACTGAAAGATTGGTAGTTCAAATTTTCCCAAAGCACTTCAGAAAACAGGTCCGATATTTGCTTTCAAAAGAACATGGCCATTGAAACCCTCAAGAAGGGTTTCTTCTCTGACCCATGAGGGGTTACCAAAAATGGAGATTAACTCAGAAGCAACTGGTTTTGTCTTTTGGTTGATTTATTTGCTTGTTTTGAACCTTTGTTTTATTTATTCTGACAGGATACTATCTCAATCATAGGCTCTGTTTCATCCCTGGGTTTCTCCTATCAACAACTTGGTGCTTCCAAGGTTAAAGACCTTCCCTGAGGAGAAAGCACTCCACTTGGTGGGTTATCATTACTATTTCCTGCTAGTCTCCTCTACGGGAGCAAACAATCCATTGATCAAATACATTGCATATTCCCCCCTCCCAAATAATAGAACTTAAAATATTGTGGATTGCTAATCAACTCAAGGAGCTCTGGTGGCTTAGTGGTAAGGAACTGTGCTGCCATTGCAATGGTACATGCTTTGAATCTACCAGCTGCTCCACTGGAGAAAGATGGGCAAACTCCTAGAGCTGGAACTTATTTGACCACAGTCCTTTTGAGTTTAAGCAACTCTAGAGCCCAACAGACTAAAATTTTCAATCAAGCAGAGCCACCTAGTGGTAGAAGGGATTTTTTATTTTGAGTCTTAATTTGTCTCAAAAGAACCCAATCCAGGCGTGTCTTGGTTTTGCTTTTTATTCTATTCAAGCTTCTTCTAGTCATCCCCTCTGAGGCTGTCACCTCCATCTGTTTTTCCTGCCAAACATCTATTTCCCCAGGTGAACAGATCTACAGCTTGTTATCATCAGGAAATGTTAGGACTAAAACAGAGGCTCAACGGTATCTCTTTAGAAGAGCAAGAAAATGTCAGCATCTATTTACGTCTGAAGATAAAGGACCAGGAAGATATCTTCTTGGTAGCCGGTCTTTCCCATGATTCACTTTTCCTTTTTCCACACCAAAGGAAAAACCCAGACTCACTGCCATTGAGATTTGACTCTTGGTGACCCTCTGTGGAGTTTCTGACCAAAGTTTGTACATTTCAACTGGAGCAGACTGGAAGTGCAGGTGAATTTGAACTGCTGATATTTTCATTAGCAACACAACATATAAACCACTGCCACACGAGGCTCAAAGAAAAGGATCACATAAAACCCAGCCCACTGCCCCCAAAAGCATATCACCTATGACAGACATCAGAAATACCTTGCATTGTGGTTTGATTCTTTTTCTTCCTTTAGTGTAGGTAAACATTCATGGTCACCTAGGAGAGGATAAAAGCAAACTCATGAGTCCCAGAAATTCCTGTTGCTGCCCACAGAATCTGCACAACAGAACACTGCTTGGGATGGGGACATGCCACTTGTGTGGAAATGGGCTCACCAGGGAGTTCTAGAGGTTAGAGATTAATGATGAATAGGGGGGTTGAAATGGAAAAAGCATTAATAGCACAGATACGAGGCTTCAACGGACCTCTGTCTCAGGGGGAGGCTGAGCCATTCATCACTGCTTGGTGATTCATCTCTGTGTGACCACACCACTGCTCAAAAAGCTAGAATCTGCATGTCGCAGGATAACATGCCCGAGCAGTGCCGGTTTACCCAACAAGCAAGATGAGAACAGGCCTATTTGTGTTTATTAACTAATTTATCATGAACAATTTCTTATATATATACACACACACAGAGACACACATCATAGAGTTCTGGTGGCCTAGTGGCAAGAAGCTGTGCTGCAATCCTAAAGGCACGTGGTTCTCCACTGGGGAAGGATGGGTAATCTCCTCTTGAGTGATTAACTGCCTCTGAAAATCTGCTGCCCGAGGGTCAGCTGAGAGTCAGTTCTGACTCTACAGCGCACAACAAAAACACATCAAAGATTGTGCTTCTAAGCATGGCTGGTATCTATCTCTCCCAAATCAACAGTACCATCTACAGGGTCAAAGCTTCTTTCTAAATGAACATCGCTGACAGGCCTGGGGTTCCCAGCAAGCTAGGGAAGGCTAACCTTACTTGTACTTATCTGCAGTGAGCAGTGTCACAGGATTTTCACGTTAAATGGTCTGCTGAGGTGAGTCAGGGTGGTTTTGAACTGCAAACTTTTCAACTGGAAGTTGAACACTTACAATTGTACCACCCAGAGGTTTTACTGGTTTCAGTGATCTTAATAGGATCATGGTTTCCTATTGAAATTATCTCAGGCATAAAATCAATTACATAAAAAGATTGAGAAATTGTTTTTCAACAATGGATTTCTTTTTCTTCTTTCTCAAATTGGATTATATGTGTGTATGACATAAAAATGAAATTCTTTTTAAAAACTATCCCAATGACCCACTGTTCTAAAATACTTCTCAGAGCCGTTCCCTCTTCAGTATTGGATTATGAAAAACTATTAGAAATTGTACAAATTAGCTGAGTGGTTCTGTTGTTTTGGGAAAGGAATCTTGATAAGTTCCTAATACCAATGAATTCAAATGACTGGAAAAAGCTATGGTAGATTCTTAGAATGGATAGATTCCAGATTTGTTTATTTCATGTAATTGTTAGAAATACAAATGAAGGGAAAATATAAACTGTGCTTTTATTAATATAACCTTGGCAATTATAATATTTTGTCTTGGGCAGAAAGTGGAAGGGTAGATGAATGAATGGAGATGAGAACCCCAGGGAGTAAGGGGGAGGAGTGCTGGTGTGTTGTGGGGACTGCAACCAACGTTACAGGGCAAACAGTGCACCAGTGAGCCCTTTCACTCAAATCACAATACAAATTTTTTTTAAATTGTGACTATTTCATAAAGGAATAGAAAAAAAGAACCAATTGTCAGCATAGTTTAAGTTCAAATGTTGTCTTAATGAAAAACAAGGGACATATGCTACAGTTACTGCCAGGTATCAATTGGATTGAGTTATATTGTATACTTATCCTACCATCTATATTATACCTGTGGCCAATAGGCCCTGCTGCAGTGATGGAAACACCACCTGTGCTGTCCAGTACAAAACTCTCCAGCCTAAGGATGACTATGCTAATGTGACAAAAGTGACGGAGTTATTGAATTTTTAGTTTCAGTTAGTTAAAATTTAAGCAGTGGCTATGGTTAGTATCTATTATATCAGATAGCACAGATCTGTATATATTTGCATATCCACATATGGATTATAATCACAAGCCTTTGTCATTTTAATGATAGAGAAGGATATCATACTAGAAAGGTAAAGGGTCATTGTAAAAGGGAAAACCCTCAGAAAAATGAATTGTTACAGTGGCTGTAAGAGTGGGCTCACCAGAACAACCATTGTGAGGATGATGGACGAATGGGTTGTATTTCCTTCCATTGTACACAGGGTCAATCTGGGTCAGAATAGATTTGACAGCACTTACCAATACGTTCTATCAATCTATAAGGGTATGCCAGATGTTCCCTTTCCCCAGACAATCTAGTCTCAGATATTATTCTGTTTGAAAAAAGAAATAACTAAAATGTTTCTGCTTGAAAAAGACCATATCAAACCTTGACAGAAAAAAAAAAAGCCAAACCACCCAAGTGGAAATAATCGATACACTAATTAAATTGGCTGTTTAAGAACAGTGAGATCCAAGTTTATTATCTGCACACTCCAGGGATCTAATGTCATGCTTTTGGTCTCTGCTGTGCTTCAGCACTTGGCTGAGATATTTCTAAATGTGTTGTAGCCTTCTATTACTGGAGAGAAAGTGTGTGTGTGGGGGGACTCCCAACAAAAACCAAAACCATCAAATAGGAAGAATGAGACATTGTAGGGATCACAACTAATGTCATGGAACAATCTGAGTATATACTGCTGAATGGAAAATGAATTTGTTTTGTCAATAGTCACCTAAACCGCAAGAAAATATTTCTTTTAAAACCCAAAACCCCATCAAGTTACCACATACCATTCCTATTCATGCTGTTCATCCATTTGTCAAGCTCTTCCATTTCTATTTCCATAACAGAGGGTGTGTCCTCCTCAAAAATAGGGCTAGAGACAGAGAATGGAAAGCATGAAAAAAAAAAATGTGTAGTGTGTCAAATTTCATTTGGGGGTGAACCTCCTAGGTAGTGGAGAATGCATTTGACTAAGTACCCTGAGCTCCAAGGTAGCCTTGTGGGTCTTGTCCTGCCCTTGACTATCAGTTCTAACAGAAACAATATCTAAAATGAAAACAAACAAACAAACAAAAAACCCATAAACCTATCACTGATCCAAAGTAGAAGGCACTCAAGCCCAGCCTGGACTGTAGAGGAAACCAGGGAACTTGCCACGTCCCCTTTGTAAAGGCACAGAGGCTTCCACCTTGTGGCTCCGGAAGTTGCCACATTTAACCTTGCCAAATTTCACTTCCCTTTTCTCAGTGTTCTGATCAATGGCCAGGGCCTAGAGGCCACTGTCAACAGGTTACCACACACCACCCATTTCCAAGGCTCAGGCGTCTCCCAATGGAGAAATACAGCCTTAGACCTCAGAAACCCATCATCTTCTTGTTAGGGCTTCTGTGGATCTTCTAAAAGTGGAATTAGGTGACCAGAGAGTGATAAGGTATGTAAGGCTGGAGGTGGGCGTGGGGGATCCACTTTTAGTTACCCTTTTGAGAGGAAGTGAGAAAATGTTCACACGCCACACAAAGGAAGGGGATGGGGCGGGGCATTACCCAGGTCACTTTTCTGGGTGGAATCTCCCCTCCTTCCCCTCCTCCTTCAACCCAGCTGCCCCTTCTTTCACTTCCCTCTCTTCTACCCACTCCCTCCAGCGATGGTATGAATTTTATGCATCTTCCTAGGATCCTTCTGCCCTAATACCTGGATGGTAGTTCCAAGGTGATACAATTTTTAATCAGAATAAAAGAACAGATGACCTTGAAATACACTCAGGGCCCGGGTATTACATTACTGTGCATTTGGACCTGGTCTCAGTCAGAAGAAGACTGAACTGAGGATGATGAAATGAATTAGGCCCAGACCCTCCACTGCTCCAAGCTCATGACTAAGGTCTGGGGAACATGCACTGTCTCCGTCCAGCTGCTAGGGGGCGCCCTGAGGGCGGGAGGGGCAGAGGAACACTCCCTGGGCAAGGGTCTCTAATCTCTGTGTCTCCTTATCTGTTCGAGTCACCTACTGAACTGGACTGGAAACAGTGAGGGAAGACTTACACTTTCAAGTTTTCACTTCCCAGATCACCTAAAAGAGAATAACACAGGAAGGTTAAATTAGATATGTTTGTCTGTAAGCATTTTTTTTCTTTCCACGAACAGCTGAACTCTCCCTCACAAAATGAACCAAAGGACCTCAAATAATTAATCACAATTTTACAGCCACAAATCACAGCTTTAACCTCCAGGTTCAGGGTGGCAAAAGGAAACAAGGTTCTTCAGGCTGTGGACTCTGCTTTCTCTTAGCTACGAATGGTCTGTTGGGCCTAGTTCTCAGGGCTTTGTGTTGCTAATGCCAAGGCAGAGCTGGTCTGGCAGTTCAAATCCACCACCGGCAACTTACAGCCTCTGAACACCTGCCTGAGGGCGAGCGATGGGTTGGTTCCAACTTGACAGCAATGCGTGAGTGAACGATGAAAGATGATCCATCCTCTGGAAGCTTCAGATCTTGATACTCAACCTTCTTTATCCTTTATTTCCACAGAAAAGGTAACACCAGTAAAGAAGTCCCCTACTTGTGTCAAACTTTTTCATGGCTCATTTTTAGTAAGTAGATCACGTCATCAACACAGCTCTTGGTATGCATTTAGCAGCCAGTGAAATTTTATTGACTGCAACAATAATTCTCAGTGTGTACGTTCAGCACTAGTTTTACCTTAGGTCTAACCTTCTGGATTTAATATTATCAGCATAGTGAGACTTGCTGGGATCTCTGGTGGCCTAGTGGTAAAGAAGCTGGGCTTCTCATCCCAAAAATATGTGGTTCAAATCCAGTAGCAGCCCCGCAGCAGGATGAACAATCTTCCCCCCTGCAGTTAACTGCCTCTGAAAACCTGCTGGAGGGTTAGCTGTGGGTTGGTTCAACTCTAAGGCAAACAGCAACAGTGAAACTTGCAACAGGCCGGAGCTTTGTTGCTATTGTTTAATGCAAAAGAGTCAGTTTGCAAAACCTCTAACACAAACAGAGCCTGATGACCCACCTCGAGCTCTGAAAAGCACATCCAGAAAAAGAAGGCAGGGATGCCAAGCGAGGGAGTAAGCTAGGTCTACAGTCACTTTTTATGAAATGAAGGCATTGCAAGGTAAACCACTGTCAGAGGCTCCTGATCCTCGGCACTCAGCAGCCGGCTTTGGCCCGGCTTGCAGGAATGCAGGTCCCCACGGAGAAAGCAGAGCGCCCGCACCTGGAAAGGAGCTCCGGACAGTTTGCTGTGCCTTGCTAATGGCCTTGCTAATCCAGCGAAGCCGGGCGCAGAGGGACGTTCATACCATCACCTCTTACCTTCCAGAGGCTCTAGGTTTATTCCTGCCGCTCTACCACAGGCCTCTGACGCTTCCCACAGGTGCCTGACTCCTCAGGAATTTACATTATGGCAGGTGAATATCTGAATCTCGTGGGTGTGTGTGTGTGTGTGTGTGTGTGTGTGTGTTAGAGAGACAGAGACAGACACAGAGAGACACACACATACAGAGCGCATGGTTTTCCCTCTTCTAAAATTTACAGACTATTCTAAGGTATTCTGTTTTCAACAATCCCCCGCCCCACCCTACCGGATCCTCTCCCACAGGAGACTCGGACCCCCCCTAATTTCTCAGCAAGTAAGTGGCTCCACAGCTCCACATATGTGCGCACGGGTTTCTCTTTATAATCTGGGTTCCCTGCAGACTTCACAGTGAGCAAAAGCCAGCCCTGCGTGCAGATGATGGAAAAGTTTAAAAAGCCATTACAAAAGTACTCCAGATGTGCCAAATGTGAAGCTGCTGTAATTAGCGCTAAAACAGAGCAAAAAAAGCCTCCTGTGGCCTCGTCTTTCCCGTTCCCCGGCCATTACCCCCCAGCCCAGCCACCATGGCAACCGCAGAACATCTGGGAGCGCACAAGAGCTAAGCATTAAGGCAGAATGGAGACCAATTACTTGTCCTCACCAGCCAGGCCCTCCCCACTCCGCTCCACCTGGCCTGTATCTCTTTATTCAGATCACCCACTCCATTTCCAACAACCAGGAGGCAAATATAGCCCGCATACAGGCTCCCCCTCTCCTGCTCCATAACATGGTTCCATTTTCCCTCCTAGAGCCTTCTATTTCATATCCTCCAACGCACTTTAACAGCCCCCCCCCCAGTCAGTTTCTACGTTATACCCACTTTGCCTGACAACACCCCTCTCCCAGTTCCTCTCTTCTGTGCACTTGATAATGGGGTCATGGGAGTGGATGCTCAGGAGCCCAGCAGGAGCCCGCTTCCCTTATCCTAATTCCAGCCTGAAGAGACAGGAAGAGAGGCCCTCTCTGAAGATTTATTGAGCCTGAGCCGAGCCAGGCGCCACGTAGACACAGCACTGTTTAAAGTGGTGGTTTACTGCCCGCTGTTTCCCCTACAGCTCTTTGAGAGAGACCCAGCACATCAAGCAACTTAATACATGTTAAATAATAATAATTGCAAATTTAATGGCTAAGGGCTAGGAAGAAAGATAGCAGAACATCTAGTTAAGACACAATGTTTCCCTTTTTCTGATAATGAGAAAGAATACAGAGGAAGAAAGATAATATCCAATCGGAGGAAGTATTCTTTCGGAACATTTTAGCCAAGACTCTCCTCAGTGGTTGAATTTATTTTCCGGCAGAGAAGAGTAGTAGTTTCTGTTCTCGGCTGGTACAGAAAGCCTGATGGCTCAGGCCCACCCAGAGGTACCTCAGAAGACGGATCCAGAGATGTACTTGGAAACTCTCTCTGGGGCACATTGTACTTTGACACTCATGGAGTCACTGTGAGTCAGAATCAACTTGATGGCAAGTGTCTTATGTGTTAATCATGGAGGGTGGGAAGACTGTTTCCTCCTAACCTCTTAGGGACACTGTGCATGCCTTCCCATGAAACATTCCTTTGGGGACTGTTATGGATTGCATTGTGTCCCCCCAAAATATGTGTCAACTTGTCTAGGCCATGATTGCAGTATTATGTAATTATCCTCCATTTTGCAATCTGATATAATTATCCTATGTGTTGTAAATCTTCACTTCTATTATGTTAATGAGGCAGGATTAGAGGCAATTACTTTAATGAGGCAGAATGCAATCCACAGGATTAGGTTGTATCTTTTATATCTCTTTTGAGATATAAGACAGATTTAAAAAGTGAGCAGAGATCAGAGGAACCTATAACTTCCAGGAAGAGAATGACTATTAAGAGAAAAAATATCAACACAATGTACACAACTTCTATATGTTGTTGTTATGTGCCATCGAGTCGCCTGTAATTTATAGTGACCCTGTGTACATTAGTTCTGGACCCCGTCCTATCCTGAGCCTATCTGACCATCTCCAACAGACCTAATTCCATTTCTCCCTTCACTAAGTCAATCTAACTCATCTGGGATCTTCCTTTCCTTCCCTGTCTCTCTACCCTTCCAAGCATGATTTTCTTCTCCAAAGACAGCCCTCCTGGTCATGTATGTAAATCAAAATAAAAATTTTAAAAGAAAAAATAAAATAAAATTGCTATCAAATACTTTTCTGCTATGCAATTGTTATGAAATTTTATATTTTGTGGATTTTTATTATTGTTGTTGTTATGTGCTGTCGAGTCATTTGCGACTCATAGCGACCCTATGCAAAACAGCCCTAAACCCTGCTCTATCCTGTGCCAACTGCACTGCCTCTGACACACCCATCCCATCCCGATTACCCCAGTCACTGAATCAGTCCACCTCATAGAGGGTCTTCCCCTCCAGCGCCATCCTTCCACCCTCCCAAGCATGATGTCCCTCTTCAAGGACCATCCCTCCTGGCTACATGTCCAAAGTATGTCAGATGGAGCCCCAGAATCCTTGCCTCCAAGAAGTTGCTTGGTTTAATCCTCTCGAGGATGAATCTGTTTGTTTTCCTGGCAGTCCATGGTGCATTCAATGCTCTTCTCCAGCACCACAGCTCAAAGGCATCAACTCTCCTTCTGTCCTCCCTAGTCATTGTCCAACTCTCTGATGCCTAACAAGCGATTGCAAAGACCATGGCCTGTATCAGGCGCACCTTAGTCTCCAGAGAGACACCGTTGCTCTTGAGTACTTTAGAGAGGTCCCTAACAGCAGACTTTCCCATCGCGATACGCTTTTTAATTTCCTGACTGCTGGTGCCAAGAGTGTTGACTGTGGAGCCGAGCAAATTGAAGCTGTGAACAAACTCAATCTCTTCGCCATCCATCCTGACGCTGTCAATTGGTCCAGTGGTGAAAATCCTTGTCTTCTTGACATTGAGCCTCAGTCCATACTGAAGGCTGCAGTCCTTGACTCTCCGCAGCAAGTGCATGAGGTCCTCCTCAGTTTCAGCAAGCAGGGTTGTGTCATCTGCATAACGCAGATTGTTAATAGATCTTCCACCAATCCTGATGCCACAATTCTCCTCATAGAGCCCAGTCTCTCGGATAATCTGCTCTGCATACATGTTGAAAAGGTATGGAGACAGGATGCATCCCTGGCGTACACCCTTCCCAATTTTGAACCATGCAGTGTTACCCTGCTCTGTTCTGACTACTGCCTCTTGGTCCAAGTATAGGTTTCGCATTAGCACAATTAAATGTTCTGGGATTCCCATTCTTCTCAGAGTCAGCCACAGTTTGTTATGATCCACACAGTCAAACGCCTTTGCATAATCAATGAAACACAGATATACATTCTTCTGGTACTCCTTGCTTTCAGCCAAGATCCATCTAATATCAACAACAATATCCCTAGTACCACGACCCCTTCCAAACCCAGCCTGGACTTCCGGCAATTCTCTGCTGATGTGCTGTTCTAGTCGTTTTTGGATAATCTTCAGTAGAATCTTGCTTGCAAGTGAAATCAATGATATTGTTCTGTAGTTTCCACACTCAGTTGGGTCACCCTTCTTTGGAATGGGAACAAATACAGATCTCTTCCAGTCAGTTGGCCAAGTGGTTTTTCTCCAGATTTCTTGGCACAACTAGTTTATTTATAAAATTCAAATACATTGTTTTCTAGAACAGATTCTTCCAATTTCCCTCACTCCCCCACCA